AAAAAAATACAAAATTTGAAAAAAAAAAAATACAAAATAATGTTAATCTTATGATGTGCACACACTGGACAATGGCAGCATGCAAACATGTACTATAACATTCCCCGAGCATGCAACCCAGTAAGCAGGCTTTAACACGCTCCCTGCGGCATGACGATTATGTGGTCGCGCTCCCATGTTCAATCATACGGACCAAAAACGAGCCGCACGGAACATGTTAAGTGTGATTGCTCAAAATCCAGACAAATTGGTACAATGGAAAACTTCCTGAAAAACATGTGTTGAAAGACGCAACCAAACCACTACCAAGGTGTCTATGTGGAGTCCATGACTGTTTCAATATCTTTCGTATTGTGTACCAATTTTTTTTTATCACTTTTGTATCAAAAATGTGACAAATCACCCCAGGATAGCGATTCAACCATAGGAGACATAATATTCAAGAATCAATGAAATAAGGATGCAAATAGGGTATGAAAATATACCACCAGTCTTCTTGAAATTGAATTGAACAAATAATGGAATGAGAAGTGTGTGTGTTTAAATGATATTGAAAACTGTGAATAAAATGAGATGAGATACAAGGATTGCTTATACTGGAATAGAAATTTGCATGTGTATCTATTTAATTCAATAATTGCATTCCATGAACATTGTAAAATAACAACAAATGTTTATAACATTTCAAAGCCTTATTAACACAAATCTTAACAATAAAAAGGAACAGAGCTAAATTTCAGTCATCTTTAAATGCTACATTTGGTTAAAATGTCCATCATAAATACATAGATGATTTTCCATGAATAATTATGTACATAAATTACTGCATTAAAACCGAATGCAAAACAATTAAGAAATTCCATAGAGTCCTGATATGCAGCTGCCACTTCTGACTACTTTTCAATCACAAAACTTGAAAACCAATAGTGTGATGTCAATCGAAATGTTCAAGGTTTATTTCAATTACCATGTGAGAACCCACATACGGAAACAAGATCAATCAAAAGGTATAATTCCAGACGAAGTCAGGCATTCGTTGGGAATTTTAATGAGGCTATAAATTTGAAATTTTACATCTCTTGAGTATCTCTGTTGCAAACTGGGAATGAGCAAATCTATGTCCATACAACCCACGCCCACAGAATCTAGGACCCTGAACTGATTTTTCAAGGTTCACGTTTACATAAATAAGGCGCACTTGCTCAGCATGGCAATTAAAATTATCTGCCCACAACTTTTGTAGCAAACCACCCACAACTTTCCTTAATTTAAAGTAAAAAACAAAAATCTGTGCTACTGTTCACAAAATTATAAAAGTTCTTAGAAATTTGCGGAAGGCCATTTGAAGCTAGAAGGGCAGGGATATAAGTACTGCATTAAATCACATCATAATTTCTTTCTATACCTCCAATAAATATGCAACATTCAATATTTACAGCAAATTTGCAAATGTACTTTAATGTACTTCATTTGACATGTGGGTAATATGACATTGGAAAATTAGCTACACTAAGGGATAGTATTATTTTTCTCTTCAATATAATACAATCTTCCCCAAAAATAATATAAGAAATATATGAAATAATAAACAACAAATCTGATTATCTTGACTGAACTAGCGCCATACATTCACGCACAGTACAGGCCTCTAGAGTGCCACAAGAGTAAAAGTTACATTACATGAACAGATAATAGGTAGTTGCGTCAAGATCTACCTGAGCATTCAAACATACCACCCTACCTTTTTTAATTAAGGGTTCAGCTGGAGATTTACCCTAAATGTTAATGTCTATCGATTAACTGACAACAACCATGTATACATAGCAAGAGATTCAAAATTTTTGCTTAAATGCGAGTGAGCACTTGAATGAACAACAATTTTCATTAGGCAAGGTAGCATGCCAACTACAACACACCAACCACCATATTGCTTTTAGAGAAACAAAAGCAGAATACAAATCTCAGATTAGATTTATGACAATAACATACAGCCTCTTACCGATAGTTAAACAATTATTTCTTCAAACCAGCTAACAACTAACTCCCATCCATCTTAGAATATTCTTTTGTCACAGCAGTTTGGTTAACTAGCAACTTCAGCTTTGTTGACTGTTTAGTTCAACATGAAAATTTGGATAATATCAGAAAAAAGATCTTTTGTCAGCCATTTGCTTTGTCTTGATAAACTTAACACGAAAATGCTCGACAAAGAGAGGGTCACACAATATCTAAGCAATGACCAGCTGACAAGAGATGATTCTCAATTAACTCATCAATTACTTGTTACCTAAGTGTAAGCTTAAAGAATATTTGGCAATAAAAGCATTTAAGGCAATAAATTTGAGCTCACAACTGAAAGGGACCAAAAACAAGAAAACCCCAGGACCATACAATGAAAAGTCTAAGTTTCCAATACACACATATCAAATCTAAGATACACAGAAAATAGAGGACTTCTGCAATAAATTAGATAAGTTTGTTTCAGCAATGTATGATAATGTATGAAACCAAATTATTTTAAAGACGGCAAGAAAAGCAAAGAAATTTACAGCAGAAGGAATGTTTAATATTTAACAGCAACAATCAGCAATATTCGATTGCTTCTAATGAAACCTTACATTCTCTTACTAGCTTACGATGGATCGTGAAATGTGATGACAGTATTGAGACAGAACATAAAAATCACAGAGTAAGGAGCTACAAGAATGAGACAACAAAACAATTGAACCTATTCTGATAGAAATCACATCAGTACACAATAGCAACCCTGTTTAACTTCAGATCATTGTCCCACAATTCTCATAAGCACACAACATAAAATTGCTATGATCAGGCGAAACTAAGATGTGAGCAGTTTGAATTAGGTATAACAAATAAAGTAAATATTTACGTACCTACATAAAATATTTTTCATTCAAACATAAATGAAAACAAGAACTAAGAAATCTGCAACTAATTGGACCAATACAATGAATGAATTACAGCCTCAGAACAATTGTAATCATAAAAATTAAACTCAAAAACAAAAACAAATTTACAAGGGCACCGCAACAGTTTCACTAAGTTCTAGGTTTCTAGATCAATGTAATGACGGATTTATTGCAACATTACATAATGATGAAAGTTGATTTATGAGATAACAAAGTTCATCACAGCCATAAACACTGCCCTCAGGATCAATGGCATGTTTTCTACAACAGCTAAATGAAATTAAAGGAATGATTCTCTACAAAATATCATAGATTATTTGCTGGTTGCTACACTTAAAACAAATTGCAAAATAAGAAGTTAGACAATTCAAAATTAAACCTTATAAAAAAGAACTAAAATAATACATGAAGACATTCATGTAATAAGCTGCTCCTTCAAACCATGATAATCTTCTTCATTCATTACCCAGCAAAACATAGGAAAATAAGATAGTGAAAGTAATAAAGTCTCAGGAACTCAGTAACACGTAGGCAAAGTTTGTAATACTGATTGACAAGGTAAAAGCCATAAAATTAGAACCTTCAAGCAGCAATATTACTGGATACTCATGAGAGAAGATAAAACCCATACCTACAATGAATTATACCAACTGACACAATGGTGCTAAATTGAGAGTATTGACATATTCCTCACCTGCTTAGTTTGGAGGAAATCAAGGGCAAGTTCAACAAAGACTGCCAAACTATTGTAGTGCAAACTGTTAAGTGCAATTGTGGATCAGTCACACGTATTTGACACAAACTCCAAACAATGATTTCCATAACAATAAAAATTTTGGTAACTGATGCTTACATGTACATGCCATCCGCTTATAAGAAATTTAAGAAAAATAAATAAAATCTGGAAAGAAACTTTACCGAAAATACATTTTTAAAAGCAATGATCAAAAGGAGATTTGGGGATAGAACACATATGTGACAAAAAGAGAGTTCAAAATCAAATTCTTTCAAAATTGTAATTTTGAAATAACTATTTAACCTAACTTTCTCACCAAATTGACCACAGATAACTTACTTCAAACATTTATTGTCAGCAGTTAATAGCATTACTTTAGGAAAAGATGTCAGAGGTGAGATAAAGATACAGTAAACCATTTCAGTTTGCTAAAAGCTAATGGGACGTTTAACAAAGGAATCAGCCATAAAGCTCATCTAGCTGAGTTAAGTTAAAGCCCTGTTTTTCACACATTGACACTGTTTTTACCCTTTATTCTAAATAACTAATTACGCATGGCGTGCACACAAAGTGGACAAAAGCACTGAGGTTAAGCTATTGATCAGAATTACGATATTTTTAAAAAATCAAAGAGAGGTGACAAAAGACATTAAGAGCTGGTATGGACACGATCGGTCATTTCTTCTTGCATGCAAGAGTTATTTGGCACTGAACATTTAATGAGGAAACACCACAGGAGAACAACAATTCGTCTGTTCTGTTCAATTACAGAACAGATTTTCTCAGCTATCGTCAGTTTAGCAAGAAGAGTACAGATTTCCAATGTAACAATATAATCGAAAACAGAACAGCTCAAAGACAACTACACAAATATACTCATTTAATGCAGTTGAAATTTTGTAATTTTAAATTCAGTTAGTTTGATAAGTACAGTAAAATAAAATTGTAAAATGATCACAAAATACACTAGATGACGGATCAAATATTCAGAAAGAGATAACAAAAGGCTGAATGTTCACATTCAGATGCAGAAAATATTTTTTTTGACATAAGTACAGTTAATCCATTCTAATGCAAACGCACAGAGTATTGTTTTAAAAACCACTTTGTTAATGAAAATGAGATATGATAAAAATAAGTGTCAGGTAAGAACTGGTGAATGAGGTTTGTTGCTACAGGAACATAGTTGTATTATACATTGAGTACTTCAGTCAGAAATAAAAGTAAATTTGTAACAGTTCAGACAATTCATCAGCATATGGGGAGCATTAGGGCATAAACTCATACGGGGTGGACCCTCATCCACAAGGAAGCATTAATCAAAGAAAGTCAACATTGACATCCTACTTACAAGCGTTATCCAAGAGTCCTCTATACTCTTCACTTCAATGAATTCTCTAAATAAGAAGCAATTTCATAGGCATTCAAATAACATTCAAAACATAATACATTAATATCAAGGTAAGTTAAAAATGTGGTGCCATCTTGATGATCCCTGTTAAAAAGTGTATACATAATGATACGTATCATCCTTTCCAAAAGGCAATTTTTGGTAAAATTGGCAGTATTAAATCTACAGCTAATAAGTCATCTCCTAACAACAAAATCACGCAACAAAATGCACCACAAAAACAAAAACAAAACCAGAGTCACAAATAAGAACAAAGTGACAGGTTAACATCCTGTCAATAGAAGAAAATGCCTCATGGCATGCTTTCTGACTTCAAACAATCACATACTATGTTTAAACAATGTTTTACATATTTTATGAATGAACCATTCATAAAGTGTGTGATATGAGAGTGTGACAAGCTGATTCAAAAGGAAATGGAGGAACATTTCCAAACAGAACATCTATGAATCAACAGATCTGTAAGCCCTATCTATGTAATAACACTGTTTACACTAAAATACGCAGATCAGCACCATAGTTATTGCTGACGAATCATAATTGTGGTTGGTAAAGGAAATGGTTTAGGTTGGACTTCAACGCTGCTTTCCTCCATGAGAAGCAACCTGGGGAGAAAGACAAAGGAGATAGAGCGCAGAAGAAACTATTCAGAGCACATCACAAAACAAGAGCAATGAGCAATAGAAGCCAACAAAACACTGAGCAAGAGCACATGATAGCACCAAAATATTAAGAAAAAAAATCCCATTTTCTTCTTGAATTACAGAGGGAAAAAAGACTGTAAAATTGAGAGACTGTTTCCCATTTTATATACCTAACGCCTTGGAATACAGAAAATGAGGATAAGATAGTGTTTTGACATTACCAGCAAAATCAAAGGGCACAACATGTAATTGGACCTAAAGTAACACCATTATGACAAAGCAGAGAGAAGAGATCAACACCAAAGCATTATCTGAAAACACACCAGGTGCTAAGCAGAACTGAGATTCTTGCACCTTTTAACCGATACGTCTCCAAGAGATTTAGTAGTCATTAAAACACATCCAGGAAATGAGTGTGGATGCATGATAACCAAGTAATGAAGATAAAAAATGGAATTTAAAAAAATTGTACATAGATGTGTAATATGTTTTGTTCTGACTGAGAAAGGAACTGACAATTTAATTGAGTTGAACTTTTTTTGAAAAGATGAATTTACATTAAAATTAGTGTATGCTGGAAACCATGCAAGAATGCACAGCACAGAATTTTGCAAGGTATGAGGTATGGTATGTATACTGTGTGCATCTACGTTCTACAACGTGCCCCTCATCACAAGAATAAAAGTGGTTTATGATTGGTGATTGTTTCATGCTGTGAAAAAAACAGCATGAGTGAACACGGAACAAAAATTTATCACTCACCACTTCACTTTCTTGTTGGTTGGCAAGACGTTCTTGGGCTGCTGCAGCAATAGCTGCTCTAGCTGCAGCTCTTTCACCCCTAACCGAACTTCGAACAGGAGTTGTAGGACAGCCTGTACAAAATGCAAAGGTAAATTAGAGTATTGTTTAAGTAGCAAAAGACCTTCACAGAAAATGATGAATACATTTGTGCCATCTTACCAATATCACCACTGCTCGATGACTCTGTAAAACTAGGTGTACCCTCTGTCCATGTAGGTGTTGATCCCTCAACAGAAGCTGGAGGAGTCCATGTCAAATGACCTCTTGCTCCACTTGATCCAAATCCTGACGTTGAGCTTCCAGACTCTACACTCAAGGTTGATTTGTTGTCTGGCCGTGATTCTAATCTTATCTCAGATATGCTGCAAGAGAACAAACAAGTAAGTTTTGAAACTGGTTTAAAAGGACGCAAAATGTAAAATTTATGAAGGACAAATAGGTCACAATAAACATAACACATTAAAATTATTAATCACAAGACAAAGTTCATTAAAAAAAAAAACAGCACACAAGAAGATTAACAAGCAGCTTAAAAGGATGAGCCAATCATCGCCAAGCATGATGATTAAGGGTATGCTAGATAACTACAGTAAATATAATAGGTAAGGAAAAGTAAGCCACTCTCTTTAAGACTCTAAATGCGAAACATACCCATCTTTTAAAAGTAAGAGTTAGAGTAAAATGTGGAGGCACTAGATGAATAATATGTTGACTTTCTTTTTGAAATTAAGTTGATTGTGCTTGAATTAACTAAACGAATGCTAGAAAAGAGTAAATGTTGTGGTAGATCATAAAAGAATTGTTGGTTGTTAATTTAAAAAATATAGTAACTGGAATAGTTCTCGAACAAAATGAGAATAATGGATCAAATGTAATCACCCTTTAATAGATGATACTTGATTCTAATAATTAATGGAATGTCAGAAAAAGTTCTAGATTAAAAACAAATTTAAAGCAGGCTAAACTACAGTCTAAATTTACTGATCGACTTAAGAATATAACTCACCTCACTGCTTCTTCACGATAGGCATGACGAGAATGAACTCCACTAGTCCTGTGGCGCAAGGGTGTATTGGTACTGTTGTTGGCATCCACAACGTAGTCGCCTCGAATTGCATCTTCAAATGCCGGGGGAGGAGTAGAGCAGGGAGGGAAACTCAAGCCACCTACAGGAAAAGCAATGGGGCAATTGCAGGATTGTCACAAACTTGCATTTTCAGGAAATAAAAAAAAAAGCATGTCCACAACACTGACAATTGAACTGTACATACAACTACCACTGAAAATACCCCATAGCGGGACAGCAAGTTTATGACCAACCATCTGCTAAATATTAGTTTCTGAGAACTATATGAACCATTTATGTGGTGTCCCACTGTCACATATATTTTGAAGCAACTTTCATTTGGATGAACAGTAGAATTAACACATACTACATAAAATAAGAAGCCAAAAAAGTGCCAAATAAACTAAAACTTTTACTTTGAACATGCAAAAACTAAGAACATAAAATTAGCCATCCAATGAGCATACAAAATAGATTCTATATTACATGGTCACAACAGATATCACTGAAAACTCTCAGGCACAGCCACAATAACATACATCAAAATTCAGTCTTCCATCTTGAGAAAATAAATAAATAGAGAAGCTATGACTTATTGGACACCCCTAATTATAAAAATGTTCTCTCTTCATACCGAAGCCAGCTCCCAGGTTGTTTAGAAATACTGAATCAGAAAGAAACCTAGGTATTTGAAGATTGCCATGGATGGTAAAAATCATTCTTAAATTTAACAAAATAAAAGTATCCAGGTGTTCAACCAACTACACAAATATTTTAAAACTCAAGTGCAACTCCAGCACTGTCAAAAATAAAATTAAAAACTACCCATTCCTACTAATCTAAATACATAGTGGAATGAAAAAGCATTCACTCTAAGAATAGGGATGAGATTTCTGAGAAAGAAAGAATTATGACAAAAGCAGGTTTGGGGATGAAAAGCGCTATCACTATTTTAAGACTGTCCTTTCACACAAGACACATCTGATGAGTTTTCTTCACTGATGACTTGAGCAACAGTGTAAAAATTGTTGTTCACAGAAAGCGAATTGATAGATTTATTCTCATTCTCAGATCGCATTACTCTACAGGGGGATAGAGACATTTCATCATTTCTGAAACTGAAGCCATTGTTGAGCTGAGAAGTTTCTTCTGAGTCAACATGTTTTTCAGCTCCAATTAATGATAATGGCATAGGAGCTTTCCTTTTCTTTCTGATGTTCTTTTTCTTAACAGGCACACTTCTGTTACCGGATTCACTTTGAGTAAATGAGGAAAAAGATGAAATTTTTTGAAGTGTCTCCTCGACAGTTGTTTCACAGCTCCTCTCACTTACTTCCAAAGAAGAAGGAACTCTGAAGTTTAGATTATAATCATGGGAAGATGTCGACCTTTTTGTTTTAAAGGTGCTGCTTATATTAAGAAATCTTTGCCATGTACGATGCTTTAAAGTCTGCATGTGATCAGTAATTGATTTCAATCCATTATGTTTGGTACTAAGCCTGTGCCTAAAAAAATTAAAATAAGAGCATGCTTCTAAATTATTTTGACTAAAGGTAGGTTTAAGTGAGTACAATGGATTGTGTGCAAATGGAGATGACAGCACAGTCCCAGAATATGTCCAACTACTTCCAATACTTTCAGATGACAAATTAATGGGTTCAATACCATCACATGCAGAATGTTTTCTGACCAGAGCAATACGATAGTCTGCTTGGGATTGTGGTAGCTTGACATTCATGCAGTGGGGGTAGGAATCAAAAGCAATCGAACAGGAGCTATCAACTTCTACTGACAAAATGTGTGAACTATGCCCTGAGGACTCGGAGGAGGCCCAGGAAAGGGAAGGTGAAGTTGAGGATCGGAGTGCGGCTGAGGCACTTAAGGTGGAGTCTTCACCTCTTGAACTGCCGTCACCGCCTACGCCCTTGTTCGGTGCACGGGGTGACCCGCGGGGTGGTACAGGTGGTGGGGCCCCCCGTTGGCCTGGAGGGGGCCTTTGACGGGCCCCCTTCAGAACGGCTGGATACGACGGTGGAGCAGCACCGCCACCTTTCTGACTTTGGGTGGAAACGTGGGCATTCGGCGTTGGTTTCTTGTCAGATGAATTGGCCGCAGCAGGAGTGGGCTGGGCGTCAGGACTCGCTGCATCGCCAACAGCAGGAGCAGCAGCAGCCACAGCAGTAGCAATAAGCACAGCACCACATGTTAGAAGACGGCCATCTCAGGCCCTCACACGGCCCATCGCATTCACGGTTAAGCACAACTCACAATGCCATAATTAGATATATTAGTGATCATTTTTTTCTGTTCGAAAATGGCAGTTTACGAAAGTTACATCAGCCAATCTCTAATAGCATGGATCCCCCACACACGCAAAAGGAAAGACCCCAGTCCCTTGAAGTGAGATCCATTGAGCAACCGGACTCATAACATATTGAATTTGCCTTGGTTAAAAACAAACACAATCCCTTACTTACCAGGTTTACTTGGAGAAGGTCCAGATTGTGAGCCTTCCAAAGCAGCAATTAAAGATAATAAACAAGCATAAAAATTAGATTATCAATCTAAAACTTGGTTTATCCTTAGCCTTAAGAGTAAAAATTTAAATTTACATAGTACAGAGGGCTCATAGTTAACATAATCATCAGCAATTAATCATATTAACATTTTATGTAGGTACTGGGGGACTGTGACAAAGATGAAGAACGGGAGGCAATAACATTATGCAGCTAAAAGTATATATGTGTTAAACTCATAATTCTATTGCTTTGCATAAAACTGCAATCCCCTTGAGATATCTATATTACAATTTTAAGAGATAGATACCATATACAAAATATCTCTTGGAAACAAAAATACAAGATGAAACGACTAATCAACTTACCAGACATGTCTTCTGACTCCAGTGGTCCGCGCATGGGCCTCGTTAGACTCTTGCGTTTTGATGGAGAGTGTTTGAGAGCTGAAACAGAGAGAAAAGTATACATTTGCGACATTGCCTGAGAGAAAATGAGGGTCACATTTTAAAACATGTGAATTACAGTTTGAAGTATCATGCAAAAACAAATTAGATACAAAACAGTGCTAATCAAACAAACATTGTTAACACAACCATGCTAAGGGAACAAAGGAAGATGTACATAGTCCTTTTCTACTCAAAGACCACACGTGTAAGGGAGTAGAGACATACGAAAGGATAAACCATTCCTCACTTTTGACATGAACAGAAAGTAAGGATAGTAAAACTGTATATACAGCCCAGTCATCAATGAAACCACAAAACAAGTTAGCTTTATAGAGGGGAAATATAATATGCCTAGATTCTTAAGAACTCTATTAAGTTAGAAGTAAATACTGTATCATGGAATAACAAAGGGGTAAACTATGTGCAAAATGGTTAACTGGAAAAAGGGTACAAAAGGGATTAGGACATGTGTACTACTAATTTGCATATCTAGAAAAATATCACACCACATACTAAAACACTTGTATTACATCTAGAAGAACTAATCGTGGTTTTCAACCAGCATTAGCATGAAGCACAGGGTAAAGATTATTAGGATTAGATGCAGATTTTCCAAGTATTAAACAGGAAACCTCAAAGTGCCCTCAGAATGAATGGAGGCCGGGCGACTCGATGCGAGGCGACCCAGGCTAGGCGGGTGGCCCGAGGCGGGCGAAGTGGGGGGACTCGAATCAACCTAAACGTTTCCAAGCGGATTGTAAATCATCCAAAAGCGTTAGGTTCCCTCGCGTCACCTCGCTTTCTCGGTTGACTGGCCTGGGTCACCTTGCCGCAAATAGCCCGGCTTTGTGGGAGTGGTTGCAGCTTTAAATAGATCAGAAAACTACATTTCACTGCTATTGCATCAACAAGCACCCAAGTCATAAAACTGTGAACGTGCATGCGATCGAGGCCATGATGTAAAATCTATAACAAATGATTGAAAACGAAAGTAAATATTAGAAAACAAATCAGCAGTGCAACAATTTTTTGTCACAAAGTGATGGAACAAATAACTGAAAAGAGGAAAAAAAGTGTTAAAGGCAAAAAAAAAATATTTAAAAAACCAAGTATGCACCACACCTCAAAAGAAAAATAACAAAGAATACAGTTAGCTAAGCCTGAAGCATTACAAGGTAATTGTTGTGGGAACTACTTCAACTTAAAAAAAGGTCATTAATGTGTTTCTTTTGTTTTCTTTTTTGTTTCTCTTAGGCGTCTTAAATATAGAAACATCATGCTGATATGGCTAGGTGCATTTGTGTCTTCCCACAACAAGTATCTAAGCTGCTAAAAATCGACAGAATACCAAGAACTGAGCAGTACAGTACCTATATAGCTCGTGACGAGAGTTCGGAATTTGCGATGATTGCCTTTAATTTCAGGCAGGTCCACTAAGGCAGGGCAGGGCAGGGAACAAACACACATACAGATACAAACAAATGTGCAAAAGAACACAGAGTTATCTGTACAAAATTAACCCAATGAGCCAATGGTACGTCTGTTCACTATTTTTTATTTAAATAGAGAGTAATTTGAAATCATACTGTTTATTTCTATGTAAGACAAAATTCAGAAACATAACTAAATGCTGAACGTTGTGATGGCCCATTGAGTTAAACCAGCACAATTGATTACAAGGAAGAAGACAAAGTCAGTAGATAGAATAAAATATTCCCTACTCCATACTGCAATACAAGAAAATGAAAAGGAAGAGATCTGATTAAAAACATACAGATAGTTAGAGAGAAATTAATGTAGGAACCAGTAGTTTACGTCCACTTAATGCCAATATAAGGTATAAAATTACTAGATACGTAGTATTTTCAGGGTCATTTTCTTCAAAAAATAGGCATGGGGAAGGGTGCAGAAGGTTGTAACTACCAGAGAGGCTGAATAGTCATACAATTAATGATGCACATCTGATTTTCAAATCACCTTATCCACAAAACCTGACACCACAGCTACTCCGCAGATTAAACCCCTTTACTTGTGAAATATTCATTTCATGCAATTAGTTCCCTTTGAGTCCAATTTTTCTGTACACCAGTTTAAAGGTCACACCAGACCTACCCGTCAATAGCATAATTTCCATTCATGCAATTAGTTTTGTTTGAGCCCAATTATCCTCAACACTGCAATTTTATAGAGCTGGAAGATCATACACCTGATCTAAAGTAACAAGAGTGTAAATTTTGGATTGCTAATACAACTTTCACTCCCTCGTTATGAAAAATATCATATGCTTGAATTTTAAAGGAATGGGCTATGATGCATTTATTAAGTATTAAGTACTTCAATAAATCTTGTTACTTTAACGAACAATACAATCTTCCTTACTGGATTGAAAAGTTTTGAATCTGAAATGATGCAAGATACTTACGTGAGGGTATCTTTTTAAACACTGTTTTGGACATGAAGTCCAAGAATCTCTGAGCATAAAAGCTTGGTCGGTGTACTGACACAGTGTCCTGGAAATTACAGAATAATATTAATTCCGAAGATACTTTATAAACATTAAGTTCGATAATTGTGTGAAGTGAAATAATACTTACACCATCCGTCAGTATTGACTTAAAACCATGTTCTAGCTTTTTCTTAAGACGGTAACTTTGAAGAATATCTATAATACCAATAAACAGCAGCAATCTTTCGCCACCATAATTTCGGGCAGGTATTCCTCCAGGACTATTGGAAAGATATTCAAGATAGATATATTCAAACATTATTTGTAATTGTTGCTTTCACCTACAAAACGGATTACTGATAAGATGGAAATACTCACGGAACATCCTCTTCTTCATCAATAGGTTCACTTTCGGCTTGAATGCTTTCCATAGCAGTAGAATGAGCGACCAGTCTTTGACGGTTAATGGAGCGTGAACGATTGAGAGCAGTTGCACCTGCAGAACTACAACCAGCACCTCCATCATCAGACCCACTGCCGCCTGCAGCACTAGCTCCTGCACCATCTCCATAATCATCCTGTCGTGAGTTGCTATTCTGCTGAGAACGTTTTTCCTACAAAGACAAACAGGGGTAAGAACTTGCATACAGAATCTACAGGGAAATATGCTCTTACACAAATAATTCCTGAAATAAATTTAAATTACCGCTTTTTCTCGTGCAGCTAAATCCAAATTATGAATGCCTAACAGCAGAGAGTAATCCATGATTTTGAAACTCTCTAAAACCCGACAATCTCTCTGAATAGTCTTCACCAATGCGTTATATGTATCAGCTTCAAGAAATATGCCTTCAGGGTGCTGTTCCATCCAATCTAAATCTTTGTAAGTGGGAGACTTCTTTTGACGTTCTGATTTGCTGGCCTAAATAAAATGATTCAATGACAACATTACTTATAAACAGAATACTGATATTGAGATAAAGAAAAGGTTGCTGCAGACCACTTTAAAATAGACAGGACTATGGAGATAAAAGTAAGACACCCACCTTCCTCTTGTACGTTGAGCCTTTAAGATCATATTTTTGGTGGAGCTTGACACCAGATGGCAGTAGATTGTTCATTGCAATCAAACGAACGTTTTTGGCATTGCACTAGAAAAATAGATGGATAGAAAAAAAAAAGCAAGTAATAGAAATAATTTGAAACAAATTTAAGACAAAGAGAGAAAGGCGGTAGAAATAAATGTAACATTTACCTGGTAACAATACAAACCAAAAAATTTTGGTAAGAGAGTTCTTGGATTCTGATTTAGGTTCTGAAACAATTAACAAATAATATTATTCGCTATTCTCAGAGAGATAAAAGAAGAATCATATGTTTCTTGAAACTTCTGGAACCCACCATGTAATAACCAGGAAGTAATTTTTGGAGAAATTCACCCTCCTTATGCTGAACTGTTTTGATGATAAATTCATCATCTTCAGTTAGATAAAATATGCTACCACTTGCACCGGGGTTGGACAGTGCGCGTAGTGGAGCACTGCACATAGAAATCTATGAAGGAGAAGAGAAAACACATTTTTACATACAAATAACCAAATTGTTGAAAGTTATGGTACACTGATGAGCTAACAGTACTCACCAAATAATCATCTGGCTGGATACCAAACAGATCACGAAAATGTCGAAAGGCAATTGGTGCATAAGTTTTGAAAATAAAATCTATATAGTGATGTGCAGGTGTGAGGTTGGAACCAGTGGGTGGGAAGTTTGTTGTTTCAACAGTCATAAAATCTTGCATTAACAAATCACGTTCTGGTTTGGAGGCAAGACCACCAACTGCATGCTGAATACCCAGTTGGATGGATCCCATAATTTGAGTGGTTTGAATCTAACGCAGAAAAAAGGGAATGTTCAAGGTCTTTCAAGAAAAATTTACATCGTCACAGAAAAAGAGGGTAATGAGTGAGGCATCCAAATAAACCAATTACTGAAGTTAGACAAGAAAAGGATCACCTTTTTGTATGTAATTTCTCCTCCAAGGCCAACACGGCGATGTCCAATTTTTTTCTCTTTTTCAGATTTGTGTCTTGATATAGAGGTTGGAGTTTTGGGCCCACTTGAGCCATTTTGACCAGATGCTGTGGATATCTGAAAATTCACAGAAAACGAGGAATAAAGGCATGATTTAACTTTTTGGCAATGAAGTGAATGCAGTAAGAAAGAAACTTACATCAAGAGGTGGTAATCTGTGTTTTCCATCTGAAAACAAAGTTTAACAGTGTTAAAACACCTCACAAAACATACACAAAAAAGAGCAACTATCATAAAGGGAAACAATGAATTTAAATGTTTTGCACATAACATGGGAACTTCAGAAATATAACAACCTGCTGCAGTCTGTACCAGTACTAAATTTTTGGAATCATTAGACTACAACAAACAAAAATCTAGTACAGACGACACAGGAGATAAGAAAACTGCAAATGTAGTGAACGAAATAGTTCCTCGAGTTGTTATTAATTAATTGAATTTGTACACTTGTACACACAATGGACTTTGGTTAAATGAGCCTGACAGTGACACTCCCTTATATATTTCATTCAAAATTTGTCAAAACGCTTACGTTATCCAATCGATAAACATGTCACTGGGACAAAAAATGCGGAAAAGAAATTGTAGGATCGAACTTTACCTCTCAATCGGACAAACTAGAGCTATCTTTAAAATTTCGAAAAAAAAAAAGAGGTTGGGACTTAACCTCCTCTTGTCACTCAAGCCTTTCGTTCATCTAAAATTTCGGACCAGGAAGAGGTGAAATCAAAATCTCGATATCATTGAATTACCTTCACTGTCGCTCTCATCATCTTGATCTCTACTGTCCTCGTCAGTGATACGCATATTACGAGTTTTGATAAAAGTACTTTCTGCTACTTCTATCACATCGACGCCGTCTTGAGTAGCCATGTTGATCAATTACAGTAAAATGTAATAAATAGCCTCTTGCTTCCACCGAAGAAACGCACATGACTTAAACGCTTGGCTTTCTCGGCATATTAAAAACGCATCGGTCAATATTTCAAAAGAACCGAACTGATGGTTTAAAAATTAAAATTGTGAAGGGTGCTGGGAATCGGATCACTTCTCATCACTGCACCATAGATCCCACTGGAGAGAAGAGTGTCAAGGCTTGGATGTTTGACATGTGGATTCGTCGTATGCCATACATGACATACAGTCACGCAATTCCCCCCTCCCCCCACCGGCAGTGGGGTGTGTGCAAAAATGTGCGAGCGAGAAAGTTCTGCCAGCCTGCGAGCTACACGCTCTAACAGAAGTTTAGTGTACACTACACATTGTCCGCCTTTCTCGTTCGCATGCATAAAAAAACCTTCTTCAAAAACGGACCTTTAATCGACGAATTGTTGCGAGAGGTTTCTGCCGTTTCTGCTGACTTGTGAGACCACCCTGGAAAGACCTTTGATAGACGAAAAACCATTTCCCAAACTGAATAACAAGTAGATCAGGTGAATAATCTGAATGGTAGGCACGGCGAGTTTCCCTTGTTATCTCTTATCTATGCAGCATTTGCTCTCATAATCCTCGACAATAAATCCTACATTATTATTTGTAGCAAGTACTTTCTCGCACCGTATTAATATTGACTGCGCTTCTAGCGGTCACCAGCAGTGAGTTTTGACTAGAAACCCCACTGTAATTATTAATTTCCGTGTCACCGTCGAAAGAAACAGTGTTTGTTATGACCGCCAATTTTTAAAAGGTATCCTCGTTTCCGGTTCCCGGTTCCGCTTTCCAATCCCATCCTCACATATCCAAGAACCCAAACCCAAGAGCAGCAGAAGCATTAGCGGGAGAATAAGGGTTGAAATAATATTGAAAAATGAATAGAAAAATCAGGAAGGTATGAAACACTTCTCGATTGAGTGTGATCATACCTGAAAGACAAATTATTCTTTGTTTTGAACTTATAGTCAGTTGTCATTGTCATTGTATCAATAGTCTTTATTAAGCATATTCAGTAAGTGGATTTTGACACAATTGACACAATTCTTAAGCATGTTTATATGTGAAAGTATTTGCTTTTCGCTCACATAATTATAATTACTGATACATTTTTAATTATTAATTATGATATAGCTCTTTCAGAATGACCCTCAGCATTGTTTTCAATTGTGGGCTGGAAGGACTATCAAGACGGTTTTTAACCATACCTGTAACTCACAATTTTGCGAGAAATATTCTAGTTGGTAGGCAAAAGTCTATGAGTATTCAACGATTATTGTCAAATGATGTATATTCTCCTCCAACTGCTTCCAAATTAAACACCCAAGAGCCAGGTCCTACAGAAAATTTCATCACTATTTATAAGTAGGTGTTTGTGTACCGCAAATACTAGAATATTTTGCCATAGTTATGAGATCTGTAGAAATCATTAACTAATCTAACGCCCATTCCAGATTTCCTGACATCAAATACATTTCTCTAATAAACAGGGGTCAGCGTTTTTACACAAATGCCTTTCCTTTTGCTTTAATGATTTCTTATGGAACACATTTCGTAGGAATCACTCCTGCTTCAGCGAGTTTTGCAGTGGCAGTAATAGGTGAGTGTTGAAAATGGAAAAATCTGTACTCTTCTCTCATAATTTGAACGTTTTCCCTCTAATTCGTTTTTTCCCCATGTATTTTGTAGGTGTTATACTTGGGATACACATTCATCTGTTGGCTCGACTCACTAAAAATGTGATAGGCTTTGTATACACTAGCCAAGATATGGCAACAGTTCAGATTGCCTATGTTGACTTTATGGGGAAACGCAAGGATGACATCTTCCCAACAAACGACATTATACCATTGTCAGAAACTCCAGCAAGTGTTACTGATAAATTTTACCTCAAAGTATTGAGGTACTCAAAACCACAAACCGAATTTCTTAAATTGGACTTAAAGCGTGGTCAAATCATAGATAAAGATTGCTTTAAAAAAATATTTGGGAGTCTTGACATTAAGTAAAAAAATTTGGTTGGACATTTATAATATTTTTGTAACATTATAAACTTAAAATAATTTTCATCAATTAAAATCTCTATAAATAACCTAAGGATTTTTATTTACATTCATCAGCACAAACAAAAATTAAGATTATTTCCCCCACCTGTAATGAGCATATGCCTTATTTGCTTCACAAAGTTTATGAAGTTCAACCTTTTTCTTGATAGTTTTACCCTGTTCAACAAAATGGAAACAACTTAAAACATGATTATGAAAGTCATTCAAACTGAAATATCCAGAGGTCTTACAGTGTTATCAGATGCATCCATGAGTTCTTTAGCTAGCCTGTCGGAGAAGAAGACCCCAGTATGATTTCTTCGTGGCTCATGTTCTCTTGAAGTTTCCACTAACCACTTGTAAGCCATTCTTGTTGCTTTTGTGTCATCCAAAGCAACAGGGACCTAGATAAAAATAAATTAAGGAGTTATAAACCATTTAATGCCCATTTCAAGAGCATTTAACTTTTACCTGGTAAAAGTATTACCTTGTATACTACTCCACCTCTCTTTACAGGTGTTACTGTGAGAACTGGTTTGCAGTTCTGTAGTGCTTGGTGGAAGATCTCCAGAGGATTTGTTGGTATTTTTAACTTAGCAGAGTCATTGGCTAGATGATATTTCCTCACCTGGGCCCTTTTTATCTTTTCAAATGCCTGGAAAAAATTAATACGGATGCACTAAAATATGTTTATGAACATGGATATCATTCCTGGTTGGACTAATTGTGCTGTCAAGTTGGGATAAAATGATGAATTTAGTCTCGGTGAAGCTGGTGAAAATGAAGCCACCCCGTCATTTGTTTTGGGTAATCTAATTGGCTAAGACCTGCTCCGACTAATCAGTTTACTCAAAAACAAACAAACTAAACCTTCAGAAGACAATGTCTTGTTCTTCTTTTTTATTGTTTTAGATAGCAATTATACCACCTCTCCATAAAAATCCCACCTAAACAAAACATACCTCCTTTATAATTTCTCTTGCTTTTGCTTTCCTCCCACTTTTCATAACGAAATTGACTAGCTTCCTGGAACAAAATGTACCAAGTATGTATATAATCAACAAAAACTCATATAGTTAAATATAAGCAGCCAAATGGCATACTTGAACCACTTACTCCAAATGTGGATCATGAAATACAGATGCACTCTGACTTGTAGTAGGTGGTTTAACATTTTTGTGCATAAGCTCTTTCACTTCTTCAGAGTTGAGTTTATTGAATTTATCAGGGTGATAAACTGGTTCTACGAATGACGGAGGGAATCGGCCATAGTTCATAAACTGGTAAACCCTAGGACTAAAAATACACAAAATCATAAAATGAGTTGTAGGTTATGTTACACGTTATCTACGCCATCAAAGAATAGAAGGTAGTTACCAATTTGTAAATCCTAAGCATGATACATTATGAAGAAACGATGGCCTTTGAAGAAATTTGAACGACATGATTGTGATACAGAAAACACAATTCGTGTTAAAAGGAAATGTATTGCACTGCGAGCGAGCAGGCAAGCAGACGGCAGCGGCAGCAAACAAGTCCGTGCGAATAACGTGAATGCAACCTGCACATAAGCTTGTGAGTGAATGGTGGTGATGGTGAACTCAGTTACTCAGTTTTGACATGTATAAAAGAATTTATTTAATCGTTCATATTGTTCATTCATTCATAACTGCAATTGGTTTGTTTAATCTAAAAAACAAACAAAATAAAACATAGAGTATAAGTCATTTAAAACACACCACTTTGAGGTACAGATAAAAATCATTAACAACAGACAGAATCTGTCATCTAAGACTTTCTCAAAATAAAAATTAAGGAACTTCCTACTTCATTACTCACAGATTATGGCACGCTCAAGAACAATTTTATTTCAGGAAAATGTTACCTATAATATGTGATGAGTCCGGTTTGAGGGAGATTCAAGTTTGTTGACTTGCTATTAATGTAGCACAAAAATCTTAGTTTCTTCAAAAGTACTTAAAGAAACTGCACCAGACTATAAGTTGGGAAGGAAGTCACACCTCAGTGTCAGAAAAAATAAATGGAATGTTGAAAACCTGATAACTCACAACAGATTTAACAAAAAGAGAGACTGATTTTCTGACCCTCTACTTGGAACGTCTAAAACTTCTAGTTTGAATAGGAAACATCACTTAAAATTATTTTAGAATATTTTTTCTATAGTATATAAAAACCTCTTGTGATAAACATTAGTCTTTAGGGTAAAAGCAAAATCAGAAGTATTGGTTTGCATCAATTAATGTCATCACATATACATACAAAACATAGATAGATAAAAATCTGATGAAGTTAGATATCACAAGTACTTGGAGATTTGTTTATACAAACCAAAATCAAAACAAAAAAAACAAACAAACAAATATAATTGTATAAATGAAAATCTACGCTAAATTCTTGGCGAAAGTTTGGGAAATAAGCAGCACAGCGATCACTTAAAAGAAATGGAAATTGAAAGAAATTGCAAGTTCCACATCACATATTTACAGGTAGGTGTATTAGTCGTTCACAAACTACTTGATTGTTAGACATGAAAAACACAGTTCTTGTATTTAATGAAAGAGACTACTGATATCACATACATTTGGCTGTTCACATAAGTTTCCTGCCTTAAATGATAGATATAATAGGGTTCCAGCCATAGATAATAAAATAAAGTAATAATGTCTGTTTGGTAGCTTGTCATTAATTCAATGAGTTGGGCAATGAACTGTAACTTAACATCCCTCCATAGGTTTTAAGATGTTCCAAAAACTCCAACATCACATTTGTGAAAGCAGAATCCACAACGTATTGTGGAAGCCAACCTTTGAGGTTGGTATTCATCAGCCACTGAAAAACACACCAGTTGTCCTCCCCAGGAATAGGTTTCATAACCCAACAACCAGGGTAATTCTCCCCTCTGTAATAGGACAAAATTTTCATGTATTAGTGTTTGAAGAATACAAATGTGTATGGGCACAATAATAAGACTATGGGAAAATTATACAATATAAGAACAAATGGCACTCCACTCCATTGAAACTTACCTAATATATTTCTTAACAGGAGGCCTTTTAGGGTGTGGTACTGAGGCATTTGCAGATACATATGAACCATCTATCATTTCCCAATGACGAAGAACTACGAAGTCACGACTACCAACCACACCACCACCACCAGCCGCACTCACTTGATATGTTATATCTGTCTGTCGATCAATAACCTAAGAACCAAAAAAGTAATTAGATTGAAGGCCATTTAAAAGCAACTAGACACATGTTCGTGTGAAGAAGAAAATATGGTACCTCTAGACGCTCTGACTCAATCACAGTGGGATTCCAGGATGGCATTTCTCCAACATGATCAAACAAATGACTTAACAATACTGAAGCCGACACATTAATTTTCGCTGTAAGACGGAAAACTTTAGAGCCCTTTAGTACAGTCTTCGAGTGCACAGTAGCACCCTCTACTGTTTCTTTCTCCAGCTGCCAATCTGGGCTATTGATTAGAACCCAAGCTTTTTCCAGGATCTCTTTTGCATGTTTGTGGTAATCTAGAGGCTAAAGAAAACAAAGAAAAGTACATTAGCATACACCCCACAAAAATTTCTAACAATGAAATAAGTGCTGCCTTTACCTTGCTTGTACATTGATTGCTGCTACCTGCTTCATCATCGGAGTCTGTAAAGAGGAAGTAAATAATTACTGGTTGAGAGAGTTATCTGAAATATCAAGCAATCCACAATCAAGGTGTATGATAATAGAGTACCTTGGGGGGATTCCAGAGGAGAATAAAAATTAGCTATAGACTCTGGATTGTCTCTTGAACCAGGCAGATTATTAATATAATTTCTAACAATTGGATTTCTTTCACTTTCTTGATACATGGTTGAGGCTTGAAAACAAATCAAAATTTGTTAAAGCAAAACACAAAAGAAAAAAAGAAAACAAACAGAAAATGTCAATGAGTAAACTTACAAAGTAAACATTCTTTTGCTTTCATTTCTTGGGAGAGAACTCTGAAGTCTAAAAACCATGCTTCACCCCAGGCCAAAACAAATGAAACTAGAATCAGCATTACCTGAAATGTTGGTTGGCTGGCCTTAGCCCACTGAAATAATCAAAATAATAGATCAAATTACAGATGGTGGAAAATAAGTAGAAATGTAAAGTTAGAAAAGGTAGTAAAAAAATGCAGTACAAAAAAACTTACATCAAAAACAAAAACTTTTGCTATCAAAAATATGCAAGTACCGGCAGTTGAAATCTGTAAAGACAATTCATAAAGTGCCACTTCAATATGAATGCTAAATAGGAAAAGTAATTGCAAAACAATTAATCTCATATTTAACTCACCGCTACAGCGCACCAGTGGCTGCTACGGAGTAACCCATAAAACAATAGAAGAACAGTAAACCTTGATATGGCAGCCATCTAAATACAAGAGAAGATAAATTTTTTTAATCATGGAAAGTATATCCACTGGGAATAAGATTGCAAAAATAGAAAACTTACCACAATATCAAAAAGGGATGATGTTATATGGTAGTGCACAACTTGTGAGGTGAAAGACACAATTATATCTCCGCCGCTGACCAGCTAAGGCAAAGAGTTATTAATATCTGTATAGAGCAGTAAAATTATCATTACCATTTTCAGTATTAGTATTACTTACCATCATACACATTAACCACATGAGACCAGTTAATAAGAGATCAAATGTAACCAGGAGACAGAAGAACCTTCTTACGACAGACATTCTGTTGTTACGGCTCATTCCAACATATATATCTTCATCATGTAAATAACTTGCATCTACAGAAAAAGAGGCATTTAAAAAAATTGAGACAGTATCTTAAATTATGAACTTACAACAAAGCATGTTTATCTCTACACAAAAAAAAATATTTAAAAAAATAGAGTGGTACACAGAGACAGAAAATATTATTGAGGCATGGAATGAAATCATTGAGAGACTGTTCAAAACGTTAACTTACAAAAGTGATAAGGAGAAGGCTGACTGTGGGGCTGACTATGGCTATGCAACTGACTTGAATAACTTCCAGTTAGCAGAACCTCCGCGGCATTTCTGATCTCTCTTTCAGTGACACTCATTTTCAATAGAAGAAAGATAACACAGGTCGTGAAGACGAATTAAATGAGGATCTTCCACGACTATTTGTCAAGACATGGATGCGAAAGGCCAATATGTCAAGGCGAATCCGTCTTGTCCGAAAACAAAACAAATGGCCACACAAAGATCTGTCGCTTGCGTTTAGTTAGAGGGGTGCTTGGGGTGCTAGGGGGTCCTGAGCTGTCGGGAACGTTTTTTCCCACATATACTTTGTATGGGTTTCTAAGGCGGTGAGTCTCAGGACCCCCTAGCACCCCCTAAACTAGACGCAAGCGTCATCTAGCCTGAACCCGACCACAGCATTTACAGGTTAGAAACGCGAATTTTTGATTTTCAAAACTGCAATTGTGGCCAGTTGGTAGATTTTAAACTCATAGTGAAATTAGGATGAAAACAAATATCTTAAAACTAATCTACGTCCTAGCTTTCACAGAAACAACCACAAAACTAATAACAATCCATTTTATTATTTTGATACAATGACAAATGACAGATGGGCCAACTCTACCACCCAAACCAACAAGATAACAATCACAATGTAAAGGTTTTGAAAACGTATTTTAAATTATTTCTTTGTTTTACTTTTAATTCGAAGTCGAGGTGCAACTGCTTTGAAATAATGGTTCTCTAGTAAAAAGGATAGCTCGGCATGTATTATCATGAATTAGTGTTCTATGAAATCACTATTAGGTTGTGAGTCATGGTCATGGGGAGATTCAAACTGACAAACTGATGATAATGATTAAAAAGAAGAACCAGCTTTATTGGAATAGGTAAGTAAATTTATCAAATTACATTTTGACTTACAAGCGGGAAAAAACAACAAAAAAAAAACAGACAGTAAGATTTTTCTTAGTAGTATTTAATTCATGACTGCTCTGGAACCTTCTTTTTAGAAATTGTATCAACAACACTCTTTACCAAACATCGCTGTGCAATAGGATATGTTTCTTCACACGACTGAATTAAATGTGTAAGTGATTCGGAAACACAAGTTGTTGTCATGGATCCTGTCTGCCAAACTTGAGTAATTTGAGTGTGTGCACCCATTAATGACACAGTTATTAATCCATGGTTCAGATTACTCCGCTCAAAATGTTGACTACAAAGTTTTTCTTCCTCTTCTGATGGGTCTTTCATCAACACATCCCCAGCAACACCCTACATGTTTAATAAAAATATCAAACTATAAAATATAGCATAACATGTCACACTAAGTCACAGAATAAAAATAAAATAATTAATGATAAATCATACAAGTACATACCAAAGAGGCAGCAGTCACAAGGTCATACATTGGTACATGTGCATCAGCCAAAGCAAGTCCTGCACAAGTAATTGAAGCAGCCAGAGAACCGCCATCACTTTCCAAGATCAGGACGTAAATGTCAACTTGAAAATTTGGGAATTCATGCTAAGAAGGAAACAAAAATATTATATTACTAGCCTCATAAAAAAATAATTTAACAGATTAAAATAAAACAGTGTTTAATCCCTACACGACAAACAGCAGGTTCCAGTGCTCGCTTCAGATTGAGGCTCAATTCCTTTTCCTCAGCATCTTGTTGATGGGACCGTCTGGTAGTACACGAAAATGGGGCAAACTTTAATACACAGAATAATTCACCATGTTGACTGTATTCAACGCGATTAGGAATTTCTCTGGGATCAAATACTGAGCAGATAACTTTGGTGTTGTTAAGTTCAATGTAAGCGGAACCTTTAGCTTGGCTTACAACACCAGTCTTCATATCTGCAACAAATAAATTAAATCATTACATACAACAAGTTTAAAAAGCACTTCGGCTGTTGTGACAAACATAATCCCTTACAAATTTTCCTATGCTCCAGTAGAGCTCTTCCATCTTTGCGAGTTGATGACAAGGGATCGGTGGACTTGAAACAACCATCTTCATCCTCGTTTTCAGTCGAACTTCCAAATACACAATAGGGAGTTGAAATCTCAGGCCCCTGAATTCGTCGGTTATCGGTTGGCATATTTTTTTACTAATATTCGGAAAGGTTGTCGACGAAAATATACAAATTGAAAACTATCGTGCAAATGAGTAAATTAGAGAGAGTTCGTTTCGAAATAATGATGTAAACAAGAATGGCTATTAAAAAACATACATGGTTTTCTAGCTTAGCTATAACCTAGTTCAAGCATGGAGCACAAGCAGAAAACAAATACACAATACACTAGCGCTACAGTGGTCGGTGGGAAAACTAAACTCATTGTGCCAATATAACACAAAACAAATTTAACCAATTTACGATTGGAGACTACAAATAGTGCCCACAAACGACTATGTTGATGCAATGAATTGAGTTTTCAACATGGCACTATCACTAGAATATCTTGATTTTGTGTAGAAGATCATGTTACTTTTATTAGTAGACGGTTGCTGCCAATGGTACCAACGTACACGCTGTGGCCAATCACGTGCGGTATAACTTTATAGTCGGGCAAGCGTAGCTGTCGTTCAGTCTGTTGAGTAAGGTATATGGTGGAAAGAGTGACGCTTACGCAAAATGTAGTAGAGCTCTGGCAGGCAAACACAAGCGGCGTCGTTTTCCGAGTTTTCTCAGAGAGAGAGCCACTGCCGTAGGCTCCATTCCGTTCATTCTTTACATTCCATAATGCCGAGGTTGGATACGATGTCAAACTCTTGTTTGTTAGCAGAAGGGTGTTGTGGAATTTGACAATTTTTGAAGAGAAATCAAGTGTTGTGTGGATTTCCTGTTCATTCCTTTCACAATTTCAATTGTGCGAAATGTGAGTTTGTAATCTGAAAGTGGTAAGATGTGTAAAACAAATGTTATACTCAGAACATTTTTTTGGCATTTCTCCTCGTTTGAAAACGCGTGTGCTCTATGGTTTAGAGGCAGATCCCCTATTATCCTTTAGGTTTCCATGAATTTTTGTTGATTTTTGGTCACTGACTTTAATCTTTGGAATTTACTCGTGCTGAGGAATTTTAGGACACCCATAGCATAATATTGATTTTTCTACACAAAAATATTTTTAGGCTGGATTTTACAAACAACTTTAGAGTTATTGTTTGTTAACATTTAAATGTGACCCTAAAAATTTGTGCTAGAATTTGTTCAAAACAGACTATGTGAGTGAGAAAAAAAAATCAAAAGCTTTACTTTGGTAATGTTGTTTTTTCTAATCTGCTTTTGTTGCCTCCTAATTTAAGCATTCCTCACGTCAATCAAAAATTTCGTCATTGTGACCTGTCCCTTGCCCTTTCAATTTTGATAAATATTTACTTTAATCTCATCGCCTTTCTTCTCTGCTTTGTGTTCATACAGATAAACGTTACCAAATCAGAATGGAAGGTGCGGACTCACCCCTAGAAGTATTATCACTCGCCGCTACAATGGTGCAAGGAAGCTGTCTCCCACCGTCGTATGGTGAGTACATGTTGAGATCTTGTTTTGCTTGTCAGTTGCCAACAGTTGAACTGAAGATTAAATTCGTTCGCATTATTGTTTTATTTAGTTTCCAATTACATAGAGAAAGAAAAATCATCCATGCTGCTCGTATTCTCATGATTATAATAACCTGTTGGGCTTTCTGGATTTCAGTTCCATTTTGTTCAAATCGGGGAGGTTGTGCTGATAATAAGAGTATGACTGTTTGTTGAGGCTGGTTCGACTCCCTTTTCTCCTGGCAGAGAATTATGCGGTTCTCATACAGTACACTCTTCTGACCTGACTATACGGAGTGTGCTACTGGTCTATTCCTGAAAAACTCTTAGCAAGAATTTTATTTCGTTATCCGACTTTTCCCCTCTTGACCATACGCGCGGGTGTTCAAAGTTCCGGGAGATTGCGAGAGCGAGGTGAAAGCGGCAGTGGGAAGGGAAGGCGAGAGGAAGGGGAACGGGGAGGGTCTGTAAGTCCTCGGCGTGCTGCGGCTCCATGGACAATTGATCCTAATTTATTTTCTGGGAGCTATGGCATTGGTCTACGATGTTCCCTCTGCGGCGGCGGCAAGCCGAGCCGAGCCGGCCAGTGTGGGCCGGGGGTGCAGCCGTTGCAGCCAGCAGCCGCGCCGCCGCCGCCCACCGTGGAGGGCCGGTGCTTGGTGACCGGGGTCAGCCGCGCCAGCCGCGCGGGACCAACCGCTGCTTTACGGTTTTTTGTTGGCTGTGCATCGCGGCAATGCCGGTTGATGGAATGCGTCCATGGCCACGAGTCACGATGTACGAGTCGAGCCGGGCCGCGCCACGGCAGGGCCCGGCGGGGCCGAGCCGAGCCGAGCCGGGGCGGCCTGTGCTTTAGCCGCGGTGTGCTCCTCTTCTTGTCGTCCGTGTGCGCGGGGCGGGCGGGGCGGCGGGGCGGCGCGGGGCCACTATCGCACCTCACACATGCGCCCTAGGCGGGCCTGCCTGGCCGCATTCCCCCGCCGCGGCTGCCGCGGCTCGGGCGCGTCCTCTGCCGGCTTACACTTGGGGGGCGCCCCGGTTACACCCGGCGCTTATGGCTGGCAGAGTCCCGGCAGAGCCTTTGGGGGGCCGCGGCCGCGGCGAGCAGCAGCGGGGCCCCGCGCCAGGTGGGCCGCCCGCCCCGTCGGCCTGTCTTTGAAATGAGTGGGAGAGAGACAAACGAGGCCTCCGACCCGTCCGTCTGAGCCGTCTCAGCAGTTGGGCCCCCTTCACTCCCCCCCCCCTCCCCCCGGCGAGCCGCGGGGCCGCGGGGGGAACTGGTTCAGTCAGCGCGTTGCTTTGCCTATCACGTCTCTCTCTCACTCTCGTTTCGCGAAGACCAGCGACGCGTGGGCGCCGAGGGCCAGCGAGGGGGCTGACGACGGCCCTGCGGCTCCACCACCCCGGGGTTGCAGGGATGTGGGTGTAGCATTTCGGCGTGTCGGCGTTTCCGGGGGGGACGGCGGCTGTGGCCTCAGCAGCTGATGCTGCGGGCCGCTCGGCGGGGGCGGCGCGGGGCGGCGCAGTCGTGCCTTCCCTATGCCCAGCAACAGCAGCAGCGCGACGCCCTGCCATCACATTTCTCTACACATTGGCAGAAATCTTTTGCTGGTTGTGGACGGGAGATCGGCTTCACTTCCGCGTGGGTGGCGGCCGTTGTTAGGGTCGCGCCGTCTCGTCTCTCGACCACGGTAGCTGGCTGCGAAAACGGTTGTGTCGAAGGACGGGGCGCGTCATGTACTACAAGACAATGGTATGCGAGTAGGCGCATAACTGCTGTGTGCTTGTTTTGCTGGCCACCGTCAAAATGGTGTGCTCAAAACACGCCTTGTCACACTCGTTCGAAAGTTAGAGGCGCGCACTCGGGCGAAACTGGGGTGACCATATTGCAGAAGCCTTTCGTATTTTGTGTTGTATTGCTTTGACTTGTCCGACAGTGTGCGGTCGCTCTGAGCGGGTGGTGTGGGAGACTGCACATGTGGGTAGTATACGGGACTGGCGGCCGGCGGCGGCTGCAGGGAGGCATTCTTCTTCCCCTCGCGCTTCGCGGCTGCGAGGAATTCCCCCATGATGCGTGGGCGTGCCGGCCGTGCCGGCGGCGCGCCTGCCCGGCCTGCCTGGGCCTGCCTCCGCTGCACGTGCAGGTTGCATTCCGCCTGCAGCAGGCGCCGGACCGGCGGGCCGTGCGTGCGTGTGCGTGTGTGTGTGTGTGACTGCCACATATTGGAATGCTCTGCTGGGCCGAACGGGACCCGTCATACTGTGGGCCCCGAGGCCCAGCCCAGCCCCGGCCCACCACTTCGGATGATCGCTTGGAAATGGGAAAGAAAAATTCCCTCCTCGTGCTGCTGCTGCTGCTGCTGCTGGCTGCTCGTATCGGGGATAAAGATCGGGACGAGAGCGACATTCCATTGACTAATGCAGCCCGGGGCTGCGTGCGAGGCGGGCGCGACTGCTGCAGCCGCAGCCCGGCCGAGAGAGCGAGTGCCCCAATGAGAGAAAGAGAGAGAGGGGGAGAGGGAGAGGCAGGGAGGGAGAGTGAGTGAATGCTGCGTGATGGAGCCGCCGGGCCGACCTGGCCGTTATATGAATGGGCCGTGGCGTGCCGCAAACGTACTCTTCGCCCCGCTCCGCCCCGCCGCGCCACGCCGCGAGGCGCAGCAGTGTCCGGAGAGTACAACACGCTTTGGTGGGCCGCGGCCGTCATCCGGCCGAGGCAGCCGAGGCGAGGGGAGGACCCGCGCCTCGAGACGCGGCTGTGGCTTGGCTTGGCGGCGGCGCGAGATTGGAATGGCGGGGCGGCGCGGAGCCTCGTGATGAATTTAAAAACGCCGCGGGGCGGCAGCGGCCCGGCCCTCCCGGCGGCGTCGCTGTCGCGCCTCGCATCTCTTGCTCCGCGCGCCGCAAGCCCCATCCGCCCCATCCGCTCGCGGATATCCGGTGCCGGTGACGGCGTTGGTGTCTGTCCACCTGTCCGCCAGGTGTAGGCGTGTTGTAGCAGGGGCGGCGGTGGTGTCGCGCGCGCCAGCAGGGCGATTCCGCACAGCGCTTTCGTACCTCCGTCCTTGTCGCACTCACTGGACACCGCCACTGGGTGGGAGTGAGAGGGCACGAGAAAACGCTGTGCGGAATCGCCTAGCAGCAGCAGCGCCAGCAGGCCACCACCGGGGCGACCGGGCGGGCACAAACGCCCCAAGGTGTGCGAGCGCGCGGCTCGTGTCGCCGCGCGCCGCCACGCCGCCGCCGCACCGTATTTTTAGCGGAATGTTGGGGTGACAAATTATCGAGTGCCTTTGGCGTGCACTGTGTGTGTGTGTGTGTGTGTGTGTGTGCGGGCATGCGAGAGCGAGATGTGCGCGAGCAGGCAGAGGCAGCCGATGTGGGGCTGATTCACCCCGCGCACTTCTGTAGTTGTACTGTACCTCACGCACGAGTGGCGGGCGAGCTTGCCTATCACCCCTGTCCACGGCGCCTTTACGGACCGTGTGAGTATATAGGCAACCCGTCCGCACGTAGGAATGCGGTACAGCATAACTACAGAAGTGCGCGGGGTTAATCAGCCACCTACTACTGATTCCGCAGACGTCTGACAGAGCTGCGCTGCGAATGCGATCTTCTGAATCAGTTGGCGCAGCGCAAGCAGCAGCGACCGCGTGTCACAGATGCGCAGGTGGCCGCGCGCACTCGCTCGGTTTTGTTCGGCACGTTATCATTTTGCCGGCTGCTCCATTAGTGGATGGACCCGCCCTTCCCTGTCCGGCTCAGGTCCGGCCCGCCGCCGCTATCGCCCGCGCAGAAATACAACAAACGCACCAGGGCCGGGCTGATCGGAATGAGACACGAGTGCGCTATCTGCTCTGCTGCTGCCGGCCGCACGCGTCTCGGCCGCCCCCGTATACGGCGGCGGCGTGGCGGTCTGGGCCTCGGTCCTGCTCTCTGCCCTCCTGTTCGTCCTCTCACTGCCTCTCTCCTCCTCTCTTATCCTCCTCTCCTCCAGGTTCTTGCTCCCGCGCTACATCCTGCCTGGCGTGCAGCTCGTGTGCTCTGGAGCCCCTTCCCCCTCATCCCCCTTCTCCTCCTCCCCGTTTGCCGTGCAGCCTTCGTGCAGCACTTCTCAATGGAATGCCGGCCATGGAGGAATTTTATCTTCCCGCCGCGCTCGGCCGCCGCCGTGATCAGAGTGGAGGAGGAGGAGGAGGAGTCTTGGACCAGCTTTGCGCTGCTGCTCCCCACCACCGCAGTTTGGATCGACCGCCGAAAATTGTTTCTTGGCTTTCGGAGCGTCGAACGACTCGAATAAAAGAGCGCAGGCAGAGAATTGCCCCGACGGACGCTGGGGCTGCGCGCTGCGCAGGCGCACGGGGGTCTGCTGGCTGGGCTGCTATCCCTTTCCCTTTGATGGTGATGCGTGCGGCGCGGCGGGGAAGGCCCTGCGGCTGCCGGGGCCGGGCCCGGGGCCTCGTCACGGCTGATCGGGGCCCGCCCGGCCACCTCCGGCCGGCCCGGCCCGCGGCCCCGCCGTGATGTAATGCGTGATGTCAGGCGGAGGTGTCGATGAGCGGCGCCTCTCTGCTGCTGCCGCATTCCTCCACGGCTCCACCGCGACGACGCGACGACGCGACAGCGGCCCTCGAGGCCTGTCCTTACAGCGGCCCCTGACCTCCTGAGCTGAGAGCCCCCCTCCCAGCCTCCCAGTTTGGTCCAGCCGCCGCCGCCGGCCGCCGCCTCGCTTCCTGTCCAGGGGCTCATTCATGGCGGCCGCTGCTGGGCACTTGGGGGCCCGGCTTGGAGGAAATGGCCGTCACTCGGTCCGACAGTGCGGCGGGGCCGGGCCGGGCCCCCAGACGGCCGCCGCTGGAAGGCGCCCAAGACCGTGGCGAAGGCCGGGCCGGGCGACGCGAGCCAGCAGCGGGGCGTGGCGCAGCGCAGCGTAGCGCGTGGCCAAATAGATGGCATTTTTGCGGACGCACTCATGCCGGTGTGCGGGCCCGCACGTTAGTCACCCTGGCGGGCGCGGCCGCGGGGGCCGCGGGCTGTGGTGGTGGTGGCGGTGGCGGCCGCGTGTGTCGTGTGGTGTGGTGTCTGCTCGGGTGACCTCGGCGTGCCGCTGCGCGGGGTCGCACCGGGTCACACCCTCGTGACGACGCGGTGTGGCGGGCGGAATCTATGGGCTGGGCCCGTGTGTTGGAGGATGATAGGCCGCGTGACGACGTAAGCGTAGCATACCCGCTTAGCTACTAATAGCTGGGGGGAAAGGGGCGGGGGATGCTTATACGGCCTGCTAAGGCGCTTCCTCGGGCAATAATAGACTGATCAGACTAGAGCCGTGGAGATAAACGGCCCAGTTCGTCAACGACTGCGACTGGCTCTGCCCCCTCCCCCGTGGTTATCCCCTCATTACCCTCTGCTCCCCCTTCGCCTCGTTACCCTCTCGTGGCCCCGGTGCCCTGCCATTGCGCGGCCCCCCTCACCCCCCTCCTCACCCCTCTCGCCAGCCCGCTCTGTGCCCGTGTGCACCCGTCTGACCACTGCAGGAATGCTTACAATGCGGCTGAGGAGGCTGCCCGCGGAGGGGCGGGGCGTGGCGGGGCGCCCGCTAAGCGATGTGATGCGATGCTACGCCGTACCGCCCCACCTCCGCCCGCCCGCCGGTTCGTTTCGTTTCGTTTCGTATGGTTGAGTTCAGTCCGCCGGACGCCGGCACCCCGCGCGCACCACACACCGCCGCTCTCCCGCCGCGCTCGCGCCGCTGCTCACCGGCTGCCGCTTGGGCCCCACCACGCCGCGCCCCGCCCCGCGCCCCGATCCGCTCCCCGCGCCCGCACCCACTTCAGTCGAGCCCCGCTCTTGCGCCCCCCGTGCGTTTGTCTATGAGTGCGGCCATGTGCGTCGGGGGAGTGCTGTGCAACTGGCACCTCACCGGGTGCTCCCTCTGGCAGCCCTGGGTGGAGGGACAACAGCAGCAACAAGGTGAGAGAGCTAAGCAAGCAAGCCATTCGGCGGCGGCGCACACTGGCCGTGGAGCCGGACTTCCCTCCCGGCGTGGTCGTTCCAGAGGCTCAGAGGCTCAGAGGCTCCTGGAATGAAGTGAAGTGACCGCCAGCATGCTGTGCATCGCTGTGCCCTCGCACGCTTCACTGGGCGTCTGGGCGGTCTGGACTCGGCCACCGCGCCGTGGAGCGTGGCGTGGAGCCCCCTGAAGCATGTGTCTCATGTGTCGCTTTTCCATTCAAGTGTGCGGCGTTCCTGTTAGGGGGTCGGTTTCCCGGTGGCGCGCTATATGCCTATGTCGCATTTACATATTGCCAATAGTAGTTCGTTTTAACTCTATTTCACAAATTCGGCGGTGAAAGGGTTATTATGGGAGAGTGCCATCAAAGTATAGTATGCTCTGCTGATGTAGGTACTGTGTTCTTGTGGCGACATTTCAACAGCATTGCCTCACGTCTCTTTTTACTATTCTTATTATTAACCTATTACTGGTTTGCTAATGTTGCGTCACTTTTGCATCTTGTTTTGTTCAGAGGAGGCCCGCAAGTCACTTCCGTCCGTGAGGTGGAGGAGGGACCGCCGGGCTCGCGACTCGCTGCCAGACTACGCGACGGCCAAGGCGACCGCGGTCGGCGGCCAGCAGCAGCAGCAGTGCGGCCAGCAGGGCGGCCAGCAGGGCGCGGACGCGCCGCTGGACATGTCGACCCGCAGCCGCGTGTCCCCGCGCACGGCGGAGCGCGCCGCGGCTCGCGCCGCCAAGCCCGCGCCCGAGCGGAGGAAGGTGTCCTCGCCCATCCCCGCCTCCCCGGCCACGCCCCCGCCCGGCAGGGGCTCGCCGCCCTCCTACTCGGAGGCCATCTCCAAGCCCGGTTACCGCATGCCCCTGGCGAGGTGCGTACTTACTTACATACGCCACTAGCGTTTACGTCCGTGTGGACGAATGAGGCGACCGACTTGATTGAAGGAAATGATCATGAACGTGTTTTCTGACCATGTTTTGTCTTTCGATTGTCTTCAGGCCGTCAGTTATTACCTGTGCTCCTCCCAGCCCTACGCTATTAAAGGAATCAGATAAGCCTGCAAAACCAGCTAAAAGTGCCAAAGTTTCAGAATCTCTCTCTGGTTAGTAAGGCGAAGCTCTGCACTTTTATTCAATCGTCAAATATCATCACACTCATAATTTTCATAATTTGAAATCTGTTTGTTTCCCCAGGTGATGGAATGTGCGACCCTGTAATTGATGAACACTTCCGAAGGTCTCTTGGCAAAGATTATTTAACTCTTTTTGCAAAGAAAACTGTTTCTTCCAAACCAAATGGTACCAATGAGGACGAAGAAAGCAATGGACCATCTATAACTGGATTATCTGGTGGGCTTTCTCTCAACACTATTACTGTAAATTTTGTAGGATAATACTTTTCTGTGAAACTGTTGCTAATTTTTGTTCTATTTCTTTTCAGTTGACGACCATTTTGCAAAGGCTCTAGGAGATACCTGGCTTAAGCTTCAAAAAGAGTCAACATCATCAACACTTCCTACAGTTCCTTCTAAACCTGCAACAAAAGAAGCATCAAATTCTTCTATTCCTAGACAAAGACGGGGACTTGTTACCATATAAAGAAAAATAGCTCCTACCTGCTCTCTTTATTGTCTTAGTTCTTTTGTTAAGGCTGTGGTGTATGGTTGGGTAGATGCCGCAAGCTACATGGAAGTAAACTGCCTTTAAGCTTTGTTTGTAGAGAAAATTATTTTTTCATTACAACAAGTGACATTGTTTTCCAGTTTGCAAGTTGAGGTTGAAGTCACTTTTTTTTCTTACCATAACATTAGTACAAGAAATATCTTATAAAAGGCACTTTTCCCAGCACATTTTTTAAAAAAAATGTTAAAGTATAGTAAATATACTCCAGGTTTTCATTTTTTTGAAATGGAATAGTGTATGCAGGAAGCTGTATTTTTCATACAGATGCAATAACTTCTGCAGTAATAGTGATAGTCATTTGAGGTAAATGGAGCTATTTAAGAAATATTTTTTTTCTTATTGGACTTTGGTAGGGCAAAAGTGTGATTGTTGTTACAAATGCAAAACGCATTTCCGGTTCAATTTTAGTCATGGTGCCAAGTCATCATTTTTCTGTAGCAATATGAAGGAAGTGCAACATTCCTTTTTGTACTGATAAGATAGTAAGCATAATATTTCAATGTCAGTGGTCAGCTCAGACCTAAATGGAGTGGAGACAGGGGTTACACAAAATCACACTGATACCTCTCACTGAGCTGCTTGATTCTTGCTACTGATTAGGTACTAGATTGTGTCATTGTAAAACAGCTCTTAGAATATTAAATAATGATATTTGTAAGAGCAGCCTTATTCTTGGGTTTTGGAAGATCGTCTTCTCTATTTCCAAAGTTGTTCTGTTCTGATCGCATTTGTAATGTGATTTGCTAGCAGTGCTTTATCAGGTCTTCAATTTCTGTCCCCTTGTTAATCTCTCTACCTGTTTCTTTTTAATTATAAAAAGTGGGTAATGTATGTATTTTTTTCTTGTAATTACTATTTATTTTAATGAGTTGCTAAAGTTCCTCTGTTTTTTTCTGCTAGTGTGTAAATATTTTCATTGTTTCTCCCCAAGGGAGCCAATTTGTGTAATAAGACTGTTTTTTTCTTCTCTTTTTTTGTTTTGTTATTGCTCTCCAAAATTGTAAGTTGCCGGTATCTTAATTTATTGTTTAGTAAGATACTTTTTGATGATATTTTTTTTAATGCTTATAGCAGGCAGTGTTAATGTTTGCTTGTCTTCCTTTTATACCAGTGACTTGAGAGCAAACTGCGTTTCATACTAATTAGTTATGGTTGTCTGTTTTTTACTTTTTAAATCTAAAAAGCAAAATTATTTTAAACCATCTAGTTTCCCCTCTTTCATGATTTCGTGATTGAGAGGTAGTTAGGGTGGAAAGCCTATGTTCCTTCAGTAAACAGACTGATACTGTTTGGAGAGCAAATAATGTTTAGCAACATAACATGATCAGTTTTTTTAAAAATCTCCTGAAACTTTTTGATTTTTCTTGTTTATTTAGACTGAAATGGAAAAAAAAAAAGGATGAGGCTTTAAACCCCTCATTAATGTCTTATTTTATCTATTAAACAAAACATCAGTGGGGCCCTTTTTAACAACATACTTTGTAAGTTTCACAATAAGAGAGGCAGTCTAAGTGGCTGACTGCCACCCGAAGGTTAAATTAAAAGTACCTATGTACCTTTCAAATTGTTGCATGCAGGATATATATTTTGTTTAATTTAATTTTGTCCGATGTGTCACCTCTGGGGATTTTAAGTTTATAATTAATGGTTGTGGCCGCAAATCTATGATGACTCCTTAAGAAAGCAATAAATACATACAGTAGGTAGTATGCATTACTCAGGTTTTAGCTGCAATAAATTTAAAAACAATAAAATTTGAAATGTTTATCATTGTTTAATTTACAATCATCAAAACATTTGTTTGGGTGCCTCCACCACTCAAGACAAAAGAAGAAATACTCACATCAAGTCTTTGGTGAAAATGTGGAGCAGAAAATATTCCAGTTTGTGTATCCAGTCCGCGTTGAGTTGGCGGCTGAGAAGGACGCTCACAAAGAACTGATTTCAAATGGTGCTAGAGTCGTTCATTCATTCCTCTCACCACCGCTTTGAAACCAGTACCCAGTGCGGTCCGTGCGGCCCTGGCGGGGGCGTGCTGCTGCGGCAGGGCAGGCCATCCTCCCCGACTCTCTCCCAAAATGCACCAGGAGCGCACCATTGAGAGGAGCGGTAACACGGAACTCAAGCGACGGTGCAGCAGCCGAGGCAGGACGACGATGGCGCCCCGGGGGCCACGGGCACGCTCGACGGACGCACGACGTGGTGTGACCCCGCCGGTGACAGTGCGGGCGCTTAAATGCCCAGGTGCCCCTCGAGGGACGGCGGAGGAGGCCGAGCCCGAGCACCGAGGGTTAAACGTTTGTCCGAATCCGACCTGGCACGGCGCGCTAGGGTTACCGACATGGGCCGCTGGGCCTCTTCAAGGAGTGCAGCGAGCGCAGCGGGCGCTGCGGCCATGCCTCCTACCCACCAGGTTCCCACAACCGCGCCGGCGCCGGCAGCGGCAGGCAGGCTGGCCTCCAGCAGGATGCAAAACAGGACAGGTAACATTACACGCCCCCGGCGCGGCCCGCCCGCGCCAGCCCGCGCCCCGCGGCACCTGCAGCGTAGGCCGACCCGCACGGCAGGGCCGTCGGCCGGGCCGGCCTACCTCGCAGGCGCGCTGGCGCTGGGGTGGTCCGCGAGCGCCCCTCCCGGTACTGACGCGAGTGTTCTCGTTAGTTTCAGAGGTACGAGCCGAAGCTGCCCGAGGACGAGAGCGGTATCCAGCAAGCCGGCGTCCTGGTTCGAGAGAGGATGAGGCGGCTTTAGTTGGGCCCCTCTGGCGATCTGCCGCGAGTCCCCGATCTTCGTCCTGAGCCCTCTCTGGCGTGGCGTGGCCAGGCTACCTCCACCGTCCCTGTGCGAGCTCAGGAAGCGTGCGACATCCGATCCTGAGACGGGCCCCGCACCACCCCGCCCCGCCCCGCCCGGGGCCCGGCCCAGGGCACAGTTGACCGGCCGTATCGGGTATCCACTACTCGCATGGCACCACCGGCCTGGTCCGGGCAGGGCCGTGCCGTGCCGAGGCCCTGCATGATCTGGTCGGATCTGGCTGGATCCGTTCCGCCAAGAGTGACAGTCGGGCTCCGGGGAAGATGATGACGAACAGAAGGATGCGAGGAAGGTGGACACCACGACGCCGACGGCGTCTCGGTCGTGTGGACAGCAGCGGGGCCGCGGTGGGTCCGCGGACAGCAAGGTAATCCTCCGGGTGTTCGGCGGTGTATAGCGCTGGGCACCACAGCTTCGCGCGGGTCGCGTTGGAGCCGCGGACAGCAGGGTGTGCGGCGGAGGACAGCAGCCCACCCCGCCGTTATGCAATGCCGGAGGCAGCGGCTGGAGGGCTGCAGCCTTGCTCGGCCCGGGAGGCACAGCCCGGCCCGTACGCGCCCGCCGTCATTGTCCAGAAACAATGCGTCGCGCTGCGGTTGCTGCAGCCGGCCGGTACGGAGCAGCGCGGAGAGGGGCCTGCTGGAGTCCGGGCCACGCCGGAGTCGCCTGGCTGCAGGAAACGTCGCCCGGTCGCGGGGACGCTGCGCGCGGAGCGCAATGACGTCGGTGAAGTAGACTTTTTGACCGTCTCGATCTGTCGAAGGGAGAATGGTTCGCCTCAGAGGAGCTTGCCGCTTGCCGTGGCGTTGAACTGGTGCGCGCGAGAGAGACAACGCTCGTGGACACAAGGTAAGTTGAGAAGTCAAATGTCTGTCGTGTTCGTAACCCTTTACCTCTCTCGAAATTTGACTAGGTAGTTCGTCTATATGGGGTTCTGTAACGTCGCACTGGAACTGGAACGATGCCTTTTTCCGTATCCACTGACCACTACTTCCTCGCCGAAGCACGCCTGCCTGGTCCACCTGAAGACTGAAGATGATCGCAGGCAGGTACTCCTTTGGGGTAAGTCCAGGTGCGCGAGCGTGCGTGCGTGCGTGCGTGTCGCGCGGGCGCACCGGAGCCCGGCGGCGGTGGCGGGCCGCGCGCTGAGCCGAGCGGAGCGGAGAGAACCATGTGCGGCATGGCGTCGATCGAGTCTGGCCCTGCTTCTCTCCTCCTCGGGCTCCGGGCCGGGCGACAGCGACAAGGGAGACTGATGAAGTGAACCGGGGGG